TCCTCATTATTAGAGGCTAGATAAATGGAAACCCTCAAATACACTCAAAGTACCTGCTTCATTGCAAGTCTTTTGAGAAAATATAATATACGTCGTATGTCTCAATATGAAACACACTTCAAGCTGTTTCGGAACTATCCCCAATCACTTAGAGAGATTCAGAGCCTCACATGAGTTTTCGGAACACTAGCGGAGGTTTCATTTACCGAATCTTTTATTCCCAACGTAAGAAGCCGCAATTATTGGTTATTCTAGCCATGTCCTCTTGCCCATGTAAAGCGAGAATGCAATGAGAAAACAGTCCGTCAAGTCATGACAGACTACTTTGTCCTTTGCGCTCAAAGTGATATTACAAGAATCTATAAAGGCAGACATGAAAATTTTTATTTCTTACGACTGGTTTCTTTCTGCTACTGGCTGGAGTCGCGTTACTGGCCGATAATTTGGCTCCCTTCAGCTATGTTGCGTTTCCTATTCCGTTAACATTTGTCGTACTAACGTCGAAATTAGACAACTTCACGTTTGACGGAACAATCTACGAGCAAGTGAAGGGAACACCAATGGGCTCGCCGATTTCGGGATTCATCGCCGAGGCGGTTCTACAGCGGTTGTAGTCGCTGGTCTTCCAACACCACAGACCGAAATTCTGGGCTTGGTATGCAGACGATACCTTCGTCGTCATCGAACGGGATCAGGTGCTAACGTTCAAAGAACGTCTCAACAGCGTCTTCCCGGGCATACAATTTACGATGGCGGAGAAAGAAAATAACTAGCTGGCATTCCTTGATGCCCCCGTCTGTCGCAAAGATTGTGGTGGCCTAAAAACCAAAGTGTTCAGAAAAGCAACGAACACGACGCAAATAGTGAACTTCAACGGTAACCACCTAATCAGCTACAAACGCAGTTGCGTAAGAACGCTATATCGGCGGGTTGAGACGCACTGCAGTGAATCCAAAGACATGGTTGCCGAATCCCTATATCTTCGACGGGTTTTCAGGGAAAATGGTTATCCGCGCAACTTCGTCAACCGGTGTATGCGCAAACGAGACAAGCGACAAAACCGTGCCGACCCCAAATTCTGGCGAGCGATCCCGTACATCAAGAACGTCTCCGAGGCCGTTAGCCGCCTTCTTGCACCACGTGGGGTTGGATTTGCACACAGACCGGAGGCCACCATGAGGCGTCAGGTGATGAGACCAAAGACCATCTGCAACGGCAAGAAACATCTGGAGTCGTTTACCGGATCTGGTGCAGTTGTGGACAAAACAATTACGTCGGCGAAGCTGGAAGACAGCTCCGAACGCGAATTGCCAAACACGCGGCAGCGGTACGAAGAAATGAAGCCAACTCCCAGGTCGCGGCCCATTCAACGAGACCCGACCATACATTCAAGTTCGATGAGGCCTAAATTCTCGCGATAGGGGATAATCGCGTGGGCCGCGAGTTACTTGAGTCATGGTTCACGGTTCCTCAGTCTATCAACAAGTACAACGACATCCCCACTCCATATTCCGTGCTGAGGCATAGTCTGACCAAGGTAATTGACCACTCGGGGAGCGCGCAAGCCGGTGAGCCAGATGACCGAGCAATCATCACGCCAGCATCCAACACGGGTAGTGACATTTCGGCAATTAACATTTTGCATGCCGTCCATCAAGCAATTAGCGCACCAGCGGACAACAGTCCGTGATGAAGGGGAGCGCGGTTAATTGCTATAGATATGCGGTAGCATTGCGACTGCATCCTATAAATACTGCAACTTCCTGTGCACGAGTCACCCTTTTCTGCCACTGTCTCTGATGATGGATTCAAGTGAGAATCTGAAACGTCAGGCGAATAAAGCCCTTGTTCCAGCGATCGCTTCTTCTTCTGGTCAACTAGTTACTGGAACTCGCATATTCGCTTGTATCGGTAACTGCACATGTCTTTGCGTTTGTAGCTGGCGAAAAATGACTACGCCTTATCGATTTCAGATTCTTGGCGATTAACGTATACTCCTTCAACGGTTGTTGTAACTTAACTGCACTTCCATGTCAATCACTTAAACCTGAACTCAAACCAACATTCTTTTGATGCGAAGAAACGCGGGCCACACATGTGGCATTATATTTTTGAGACAACCGTCCCCAAACGCTTTTATTACCCGACATTAGACTAAATAATTTTGTGGTGGAAATGTTTTCGCTCTAAAAGCCGTCACTTTTCCCTCTCTTTCTCCTTCATGCACAAAACTGCGTTAGCACATGTAAAATAGTCGACATTTTAAAAACAGTATTCGACAAATTCCATCCCGCGATTGAAAACGCAAGAGACACAGTCCGTCATATCACTTCATCGATAAATGTTAAGTATTGACTCAACGACTAGCTGGGGTAACACGCATCTTTCCCAATAATATTAGTCTTTAATCAGTAAAATTTATATAGTATATAACATTTAGTATGAAAATTCTCGAGGAAAGAGGTTATTTGTTCCTCGTATCCTACCGATTCAGGAATGACCCCGTCCACGTCGACAGATCGACCGTCGTTGCCGACGATGCCAACCGTGTGCGCCACAGTAGGGTGAAAGCAGGGACTGCGGCAGCAGACTTGAGCTACACCTACCACACTCTCCTCCTCAGCCACCTGAGTCAGGTGTCAGGACAAAGTCAAGGTGACCGGAGACAGGAGAGGGCCCACATAGTTGCATGGCAAAAAGCCACACCTAAGCGTACCACAATTACCACCACCTCCACCACACTCCCTGGTTCTCAACAAACACTTAACCACGATGTTATACCATAACAAAATATTGGAACGGCATGGATCCCTAGTGAAGCGGAGTGAACCGACAACTGGGGCTGCCAACCCATCCTAAGTGTTAGCATTTGTTATGAGTGCGCATTCCCGATAACACCTTCCGGATTCCGATCTAGCATCTGTGATGGTCCATCTCATCCACCACGTTGCCCCTTTCAGGGGTAAGCAAACACACCCCCACACACGACAGTTCGACCGTCGTTGCCGACGTGGTCCACCGTGTGCTCTATGGCATTGGTGGCGCAGGGACCGTGAGTTGTACGGGATTTAGTTTTCTAGTAGTAGTGAACTTGCGCTGCATCTACTGCACCCTTTCCGCCCCTCCCCCCCCCCACCTGTGCCCACCGTCATGACGAAGTCGAGAGGACCGTAGGTGGGAGAGAGCGCAGGTGACTGTCGCGGCTGGAGAAGTCCCTAAGCATACCGCCACACCCAGCTCGGATCCCACAGAGTAAGACTGCCATAAAGGCCGTATTAAGAAGGAATCATTGCAGCCTGGCTTTCAGACCACCAGCAGACCGTTTAACACAAACCTACCACACTGGACCGACTAGGCCGTCAGTTAGCAACCTTGCAAGCCATGGCTTTTAGCGCGTCATGATGGATTCAAGCGTGTCAGGTTGCTTGTAGTGAGAAAAATGCGCTGAGACGTCGGTCTCACGCTCTATTCGCATTTCCAGGCCTCAGTCACTGCTCGAGACGGTCAGTTGTCTGGTACCGGTGACTTTATCTGCGCTTGCCAAATATACGCATACACAAATACTCCTTCTTCGAGCATAAAATATAAAGATAACATGATTCTCTATCAAGCGACTGAAAGGAAGCATGGCTTTTTGTTCTTGGTTTCTATAAAATGTGTTTGAATTTGCGGGACCATCAAAAATCAATGGAAAAAGTGCAAGCTGCCTAAGTAGTCATTTTTTACTAAGTACGGTTTCTACAGGAGATTGAAAAGCAGTGTATTGAAAGCTGACATCCTGTCAAGTCCGAAATATCCTAGGATTATACCGCAAGCTAATCAGTAGTACGACCGCGCCTAAGTACAGTAGGTGGGATAACTCATTAAATATCAACCGAAATTCCAAAATGGGTTTTAGTTTCGAAAAGAGTGATTAAATTGGGTTGTGAAACTCATCATCTTGCAGCATAATTCTATAATAATTTTGTTACCTCAGGATGCCAGCTTTCTAACGAACTTCCTTCCGACCGCATGGAAAAACTGCACTCTTTAAAAAATGACTGCTTGAGTAGCATACACTTTTCTCGTTGGTTTTCGATGTCCCTAGAAGTTCAATTATACTTCATGGAGAACATGCATACAAATATTCATTCTTTTGCTCATTCAGTAGCAAATTACGTCTTCTCTCACTCATACACTCGAAGGAAGAGTATAATTCTGTTTTAAAAAACTTTTCCAATTCCCGAACAAATTTGGACCCGCTCTACTGTTACACTTGGATTCAGGGTTTCCAAACTACAAGCCATGTATTTTCCGCGTACGGAAAACCACACATTTCTCTACGGTCTTAAGACGAGACCATATAGGGTTCATAAAATTTGGCATTGGACTTGATCCAGATTGTTAACCTTACAAGCCACATTGGTAAATGCAGAGACATGGCGATTTATGAATGGCCCTTTCACAATTAGAAACGTTTTTAAAACTTAATTATACCCCTCCTTCTAGTATAAAATTGAAGGAAAATGTAATCATCTACCGAATGAGCGAAAGAATGAATGCTTTTATGCATGTTTTCCATGACTAATAATTGGACTTTTAGGGTCATCGAAAATCAATGAAAAAAATGCATGCTAAGTAAGTAGTCATTTTTGCAGAGTGTAGTTCCTGCATGCGGTCGAAAGGGAGTTCGTTCGAAAGCTGGCATCCTGAGGTGACATAATTAGCATGGAATTATGCTGCATGATGATGAGTTTTACAACCCTACTTAATTAATCTTTTCAAAACGAAAACGCATTTTGGCATTTCTGTTGACATTTCATGAGTTAGCCCATCTACTGTTATCCTTTCCAGTCGAAAACGCATTTCAGAATTCAGCCAACATTTCATGAAATCGATCACTCACTGTTCGCGGGGCTTCCTGTTGCTGATCCACCAGTCTCTATGCGATGGAATCTCAAGTGGCCGACCAGACGGGTACTTGAGATGAATGTGCGATCCCGATCAGGACAGGTTAGGACCCAATCTGCATCACTGGAGGTTTCGATGATAATGGCGGGTGTTGGGTGTTGGCGCGCCGTTGAGAGCGTTTTGATCGGTAGCGAAAACGCGAGATGTGGTCGTTGTCGTCGTCACCGCAGAGGTTTTGGCAAGGGTAATGGAAATGGCGGTGAACAACGGTGGCGGACGGGCCGTCATAGAAAATGCCGTTGGGGGTTGGAGCGGAGGCAGTCGAAGAGGCTGCAGTTGGGGTTGTCAGATGCTTTGGTACATTGGGTCCGAAGATGTCCGACGAGACCCATCCGTGCGTGAATGTTTGTCGACTGTGCAGGCATGTTCGCAGGAGTTGAGGGTTGGCGTTAAGGGCGCCTGAGCCTTGCGGCGGCGACCTGGTTGACATCATAGATGGCTGCCCCGCTTTTCAGCGCTCTTCTCCATACCGGTCGGTCAACCGTAAGGTCTTCTCAAGTCTTTAGTTCGATCTGTAGCCGTTTCAAGCAGTCCCCCGAGGTGTTCTTATTGCGGCGGGTTGGGCCTCCTTGTCCGTGAGCACCCGTAAGGACATCTCCATAGAGCAGTTGCTTTGGTAGGCAAGCGTCGTCCATCCTCACCAGATGGCCGCTTCATCGTAGTTGCAGTTGCCTCAGCACGGCGTGAATACCGAGGATTTCGGTCCGTTCCAGAACTTCCATGTTCGGAATCCTGTCCTACCACCTCAGCTTTAGTACCTAGCGGAGCTAACTCAGGTGCAAATGATCGAGTTTACTCATTTGTTTCTCCCCGACTGGCCAGATCTCTGCGCCATTTAGCGGGGTCGTCAAGATGACCGCTTTTTATACCTTCAGTCTGATGTTGAGGTGAGGACCGAGATAATTCCATAAAGAGTCTGGCTGGTTTCGAAGCACTGGTGGGACATTTCGTCCTCGATTTTGACTTAACGGTGCCGCTAGCAGGAATGCGAGGAGCCCTATATGCGGCGCTGGACGGTGTCTGGTGTACGACCACCGTTTCTTTCGTGTCGGTGGTCAACCCAAAGTTGGTGGAAGCATAGGTTAGGAGATTCATGCCTTTTGATTGTCAGCGTCTGTCTCGGTGTGGAGTACGCAGTCGTCAGAAAAGAGCAGGTCGGGAATAGTATTTTAGGGATATGCCGTTCGCAGTAGACCAAGAAATTCTTCGTTTTACTCAATGTGGTCTACGGAACCCCTGACAAAATAGCCACGTCAATTCTCAGCGCCTCCGATGGAGAAATCGAAGATTTTGAATCCTTACACCGATCGTTTGAAAAGTGTCCTCAACCGCCCTTCTACAGTCTCCGACGCCGCCGACGAATTATGCCCTCAAGTGAGAACGAACAACGACCTGAATCTGCCGCCTACTCTCCAAAAAGCAATCTAAATCGTGCACCAACTCTCCAACTGGAAAACACTGGGATCCAATGTGATTCTGGCCGAAATACACGAGCACAGCGTCCCTGGCTGATGGATCAACTTACAATGCTATTTTAGGAGATATGCCGCCGAGGACATGTTTCACAGGACTTCATTTCTATATGCAGAAGGGGAACCGGAAACTCTGTAATAACTAAAGAGGGATCTCGCTGTTAAACATCGCCGATGAGGTTTTCACTCCTATCCTCCTTAATCATCTCTACAGCAACCTTGAACAGGGACATTTGCCGACGCCAGCGGGGACCACCGACAGGATCTTCGTCGCCTGCCAGCGGTAAGAGAATCTCAAGGAAGTGCGGACGTACAGTAGGTGAGATAACTCATGAAGTGTTAACCGAAATTCCGAAATGCGTTTTCGTTTCGAAAGAATACTTTAGTAGGGTTGTAGAACTAATCAGCCTGCAACATAATTCTATAATATTTCAGTTACCTCAGGATGCTGGCTTTTGAACGAACTTCTTTCCGACTGAATGCGAGCATTAAACTCTGTATAAAATGAATACTTATGTAGTATGAGTTTTTCTCGCTGATTTGCGATGCCCCTAAAAGTCCAATTATATTTCACGGAAAACATGCATAAAACTATTCATTCTTTAGGTATTTTGGTGGAAAATTACGTCTTCTTCCAATCGCATTCTCGAAGGCAGTGTATAATACAGTTTTCAAAACTTTTCCAATTCCAGAATAAGTTTGAACCCCCTCTACCGTTACATCTGGATTCAGGGTTTCCTTATTACAAGTCGCATATTTTCCGCAAACGGAAAACCGCAAATTTCTCTACAGTACAAAGCGAGACCATATAGGGTTCACAAAATTCAGCAGTGGATTTGATCCATATTGTTAACTTTACAGGCCACATTGGTAAATGCAGAGACATGACGATTTATGGACGGCCATTTCACGATATTTAAAAGCCCCACTATTGTAAACTTTTTAAAACCGAATTATGTCCATCCCTCGAGTATCAAATTAGAACAGGACCTAGTTTTCTACCTATCGAGTAAAAGAATGAATATTTTTATGCATGTTTTCTATATAACATAATTGCACTTTTAGGAGCATCGAAAATCAACTAGGAAAATTCATGCTACATAGGGAGTCATTTATTACAGCGTGTAGTTTTTACGTGCAGTCGGAAGGAACTTCATTCGAAAGACGTCATCCTGAGGTAACTGGATTAGTATAGAATCATGCTGCAGGATGATTAGTTTTACAATCATTCTTAATTAATCTTTTTCGAAAGGAAAACTCATTTCGGAATTTCGGTTGACATTTCATGAGTTAGCCTATCTACTGTACCTTTACAGTACCTTCATGAATTTGACAAAAGCCTTCGACATGGTGGGTTGCGATGGACTGTGAAAAATCATGCCGCAATTCGGTTGTCCGGAGGGATTCGAGCAGTTGGTGCGACTGGATGATGGTGCGCGCGTCCTGGACAACTGGATCGTCTGAGAAGTATTTACAGTAACTAAGGCAGTTATGCTGGTCTGTGTACGCGACTCAACCCCCTTCAGCCCCATGTCCCTTGCCGTGATGATGGGGGTCTCGAGATCCCCATCACCCACGGGACCGACGGCCATCTTCTCAACAGTCAGCGCATGCATGCGTCTGCGGGGTCTGCACAGGGATTATACAACGGACGGATAATTTTAGGCAGCCACCGTACACCGGATTTCAGTAGGACGCTCATTCAGATACGTAGGTGACTTCAGCGTCCGCCTGCATGAAGTTTACTTAGAATGCGGCTGCGTACCTAACTTTTCCTTTTCTGCCCTTGTTGACAGGCGCGTAGAAGGAAATTCCGACAATCTGCTTGATGGACTTAGTTATGACCTGTGTGGCGGCCGGACGCGTTGTCCTTTCTACACTTCAATGTTTATTCCTTCTCCTAAACCATCACCAACTCTATACACTCACACGCTGGTAGGTCCTATCAGACAAGGGTATCGGTTAAAGGCTTGCCTATTACTCATACCATACAACTCTAGTTGCCTGATGTGAATGTGTCGAAAGCGCATGTATTTTGTCAAACACATTTCAAAAAATCCTTCTTTTATAGCGTATCCGGTTTCCGCTTTCTCAGAAAATTCAGTTTAAGATTCCGTTCTCGCTTAAGAATCCCATTGTGTTAGAAGTCATTTCAAAATAAACAAGTGAAGGCGTACGGCAAAATTACTAGTAGAGTTTGCGTTCTGATTAATTTCAATTATTTTACTTCAGCTGAAGTAGGCAAGAACGGCAGGATTCATTGGTACCAAAAAATTTCGCGACTGCTCTTCAGCTGCTAAAAGACAGCTTCCACTTCATTGAAGAAATCAAAAATCAAGACATTTCTGGCAAATACATGATATCCCTGGATGTACAATCTCTTTTCACTAACGTACCTCTAGATGAGACAATCGACATAATATGCACCCATGCATCAGAAACTCGTCTGCCACCGGAAACACTACGAGACGCATTAAAATTGTGTACAAAGAACGTTCAATTTCTCTTTAATAGCCAATTATATAGACAAATTGACGGAGTGGCCATGGGGAGTCTCCTTGGCCCTACCTTTGCTGACATCTTTATGGGTCATCTAGAAGAAAAAGTGTCCACCAAATTAAATAAGCTGCCATTCTACAAAAGATACGTGGATGATGTTTTCGCTATTGTTAAGGACATTAAGGAGGCTGAAGAACTGCTTTCTATTATGAATAAGCTGCATCCAAAGATCAAATTTACAATGGAGAAGGAACAAGACAACCAGCTTTCCTTTCTGGATGTTCTTATGTTTAGAAAGGAAGATGGTTCTATAAGACGTTCTGTCTTCCATAAGAATACTTGGAAGGGACATTACTTGCATTTTTTGAGTTTTGTACCTATCCAATGGAAACGTAACTTGGTATACGCTCTTTTCCAAAGGGCTAGAAACATTTGCTCCAATGACACACTGGATGCAGAATTTGCACGTCTCAAAGAAGCTCTACTTAAGCGTGGATATCCCTCACGGTTCATCCACAAATACAGCAACTCTACACGGCCAAAACTGACAGAACATTCAGCTCCGAAAAAGCCCGTCTTTATATCTTTGCCCTTTAAGGGCGACAATATTTTAAATACTATCAAACGACGACTACGTTCTGCAATTGAAAGGACATACAATGCAGCCGAACTAGTATTCTGCAGTCCTACTAAGCCACTTCCGATTCCACGGGCAAAGGATGCCCTGCCAATGCACGCCACGTCAAATTGTGTTTATGAATTCACATGCACTTGCGGATGCAAGTACATTGGGCGAACGCAAAGGCAGCTGGCAGCCAGGTCCATTGAGCACCTGCCCAAGTGGCTCCTTAGACAAGAAAATAAGATCCCGCGTTCATCCATTACGAAACACCTACTTGATACTGGTCACACCGTCGACGCCAAAACTTCCTTCCGAGTACTTGTTCGGGCACGAACAACTCGGACATTGCGTTACCTGGAGGCAGCCTATATACGACGAGTGAAACCAGATCTTTGTAAACAATTGGAGCACGTGGTTAACCTAACATTACCATGGTAGTCTCTAGCTCCATGATTCTCCCTCTCTCCTCTCATTTTTGCTCTTTAACGTTTCCCCTTTTTTCACTTTCTTCCCCTACCGGCGTTTGTGTTACTAACTTTATCGATTAGCCAACTTTGCCCAAAACCCTAACTTTGTTGTTTCTGCATCGATTTTCTGCACGAATTCAAATCTGTTGTATTTTTCTCACTCGTTATTCCTCTTATGAAGCGACAGGAAGCAGCTGAAGAGCAGTCGCATAATTTTTTGGTACCAATAAATCCTGCCGTTCTTGCCTACTTCAGCTTCGTACCGGGGACAAAATGCTTCATATTTTACTTCAAATGTTAGCGTCGTTGTATCTGACGCACCGTCCTGTTTATCGGGTAATTCCAATTTCCCCAACCAGTCTGTTTGCAGAGC